TACACTTAAGAATTGGTATACTAATGAAATAACTATCAATTCAGAGAAATTTCACTAAGTACAAATTGACATTCACGACACCACAAGGCAATAAGTGGCACTCAGTAGGAAGAATAAAATGCAAACGGCAATTAAATTATTTTTCTAACATTTTCATTGCATCTGCGGGCAGATGAATAGGCAGAATATTTATATTTTGTGAAAATAATGTTGGAAGAAAATGCATACACCACAAATAAAGTGGTTTTGGAAACCTTAGAACACTACTATCCTCTCTTTTTTTCAAAAATATGTAGGTGTCATGAAGGTTTCCTAAATATGTAGACGAAACAATGAAGATACGGTGGTTGAAAAAAAGTAAATTTGATACAGAACAAACTATCCTTTAATGGAAATGTTCACTATATAAAAACGTAGGTGACTTGTCACAGAGGAGTCTATCTTAGCGGACTGCTTAAACCACTGGCCTGAAGCATTTTACTATCCATTAAGCTGCATCTTACCCATTTCATTTCATGTTGTCTTAAATATCCAATTACATATCTGAGACAGAGTTCGCACTAAAGACAATTTTCGAGAAGAATTCGGCATATCGATACAGAGTTTCCGGATAAAATGGAGGTTATTTGAGCGTTCTAAGGACTAGATAATCTTGCTCCGAACGATTTTTTCCTCTTTTAGAGTTTCTAAAGAAGCTGTGTACGGTTCGATATAGAACACATTAAAAATTCTACAATACGAGCTAAATAAAATTCAGAATAAAATCATTAGTATTTTTATTCTACATTAGAAATTCATAGAATTTTTATATGATGCCAAGTCACCTATCATAACTACCAATTCTGTGTCTGCATACATCAAGATTGCGTTGGTGGCACAGCGGTAGAGTGCTCGCCAAACACGCAAGTGTTTCGGGGTTCAATCCTCGACAGACGCACTACTTTCCTCGCTAAGCCAGTAATAAAACTGGTAAAGAGGGAAGGTTGGGCATGAGGCTAGCAACACCATCCCATAAAAACAAACCCCACTGCTACTGAAACCTTAAAGCTCTAGTTTGAAGCTCTATGTTCCACTGGGAAATTAAGGAACAAAATAATAATAATACTTCAAAATCATATTATTTAGAAGACATACTGTTCAACCAAAAGTGTTTTTATATCCGATCTGAAATATGCTGCTATTTCATCGATTCTTTACACGGTTAACAATTTCATTCCTACTTTAACATCTAACCCTCTATACCCACCTAACTTCTTCTAACTTATTTTAAATATTCATGGGACTAAACCACAACAAAAGCTTTGGTAATCTACAATCTTTAAATTTACAGAAACACAAATTGGCATCTACATATGTGTCAATAATACATGTGTCTTTCATAACAAGTGAAACGCGAATTTACGCAAACGCATCGACTATGAATTTTAATACATGTGCTTATGAAACTGATATCGTGTGATTAACTGAATTATCAATCCATCTACAAGTGATAACACAAATGCGCATTTTATTGACAGTTAAATATGCAATACCGAAATTTAATGCTCCGATAAAATGAAATCAATTAAATAATTTGTTTCTAAGAGTAAAATATTTTATCAAACAATATGAAATATTTTTCCAGTCCTAGGTCTCTACTACAATTAAACCTTACAGAATTTACTTGTGAAAAGTTTGAGAAGGAATAGAAATATTCAAAACAGAATGAAACCTTAATTTTGTCATTAAAAATGAAATCAGATGATAATTTTTCGAGAAAGTGATCAATCAACCATGGAAAGTGATGGCTGCATTAATCAGCACCACCCGTGTTTTATAAGAAACAGTATACCAATACCGGTAGTCTTGTGTATCTTTACAATTCATAAGCTGGATTTCTGCTTGTGTGAAAGTCTTTAGATAAACAACTTCAAACTAACTGTAAGGCTTTCAGTTCGAAAAATGTGATCACAATGAAAATGTTTTCGGAAGAAATTCGAATATCTTTACTGCCAAACTTCAGTAACTTTTGAGTTTGGAGATCAACAATTTTGTTCACTCCATCGTGAAAAATAGTAATAAAAAATAGGCCACCCAGTAATAACCTAATTGAAATTCTTTCCACATAACCGACATTAATTCAAAGTTTATTTGTATACAAAATTTTATTATCGAGAGAATTGAAAGGGAAATATCTATTGTGAATTAATGATCCTTGAAGTGAATATGAAACTCTGCCTTCCTAATGATTCGAAATAATAAATCTACTTATCGGAATTCATTTTGACTTTTACTGAGATTCAAAGCCGTTGACTACATCAAAAAATTAACCAGTTTGATTATCCACAGTGGATATCTTGTGAACCCTTTACATTCGAAGAACAAACTCATTCGTTATTAAGCAACTGAAATTAAACGAAATATTACTAATGACAGTGACCTTTGGAGTTATTATTTATACGTCACAATTACTTCATATCTGGGTCGACGTCTGGAGAACAGGCAGAAAGACATCAAATTCTCTGAACATGGAGCGAAAGGCCTACCTCTCTAGGGAACAAACGCTTTCAACAATGTCATTTCCGGGCAAATTCCTTTAAGACTGTCAGTAGACAGAATAGCTCAGGACTCCTCAAGTCTGCTCAGGCAACGTCTGTCAAGCGCCCACAACCTAATTTACGTATTCAGAAAGAAGCAGTGATCCGTCCTTCGTTGCCTTGGTTAATGGATGTATTCAATATCTCTTTCGTTTGACTACGTAATATCTGTCTTTAACTCCTTGACTTTATTACGTAACGGCTTTACCATTGTACGCATACATTGATTTTCCCTTGTTTAGACTTGAACTCTTTGTCAACTAACGTAATGTGAAAATTACAAGTACGTCGAAATTGTTTCTTTACTTAAACTTAATAACGTCTTTAGGCTGTAAGCTGATGATGAGAATCCGACGAAATAAATGATTGTACAATCTTATTCTGCACAAACTACTGTTTTCGATCTACTCAAATACATAAATAGCAAGAAATGTATGAGTATTTTCGTTGACAGGTTGGTTCGGTACAACTTTATCTCAATTTCGGCGTTTTTTTTCAGTGTTCTATGTTGATCAGAAATGAGGTAATATAACTGAGTGGGTAATGCACCATAAAAACACTCGAAACAAGGTATTCTAGTTGCCTGTTAACGAATACGGAGAGTAGATGAAGCTTCTTTATTGTTACTGGCCTATTTTTACGAATGAAACCCTCTTGAAAAATAAATTGATGCAACACACTGGATAAGGTTATGGCGGTCTGCAAATACATTGAAATAGGCACTCCTCATTTCCATAGATTCGCTTGAAGCTAACACATCTAGGGTTATTGTCACGATCACAAATAATAGACAGCCAGTGAGTTAAGAAAAAAGGGTGGTGAAAATATTATGAGGTAAAATAAATGATGATTCTAAATGTGAATTATCAAGATAGGTCAATGTGATTTAAGCTACTGTGTTGCCAATCCCCTTGATCTCGTATGATTATTCTCAATTTTTCGAAAATTAACCTTAGTCATACACTTAGACATTGACTGACTACTACTGACTGTCAATAAACGCTGGTCTCTGTTGTCACTTAACTTTGTACAAGTGAATAACCATGAATTACTGCATAGCATGGAAGTGAATTCACGAAAATATATTTCTTTGCTGAATTTGTGTTCTGAATTACATGTCATGGGAATTTCTCACACCTTCAAAGTAATAACAAATAAGACAAAATGAATGTTGTCCTGTAAACCATCACAGTATTCAAACGACAGTGCCACATTTCATGTTCCATTTTTGCGTCGTCACATCTACATGAGGAGGACTCATCGGTCTACACAGAACAGAACACATTCCTAGGTAAATTCAAGAAGAAATAAAATCTCCCGATTCAAATAACCCTGGAGACAGATGCCTATTGTCATCTATTGCGCTGCACATCATAAAGAAGGTTTAAATAATTGGTTGAAGCCTTTAAACCCATTTATAAAACATGTTTGCGTCATATACTTCAGTTCAGTAAAGCTCTAGTTACTGAATGGCTCAGACCTGTGTTTCTTTGTGCTTTCGAAAGTGAACCAGACTTTGCAATCTAATTTCAGAACCAAGGCTTATTACACTTATCAGTATTTTCACCACCGTTCCTTTTCTACCTCATCTGCTACCTACTGTCTGGGACTTTGAAACGTACCTATTTGAACTATAATCATGAGAACTCTGATTCCCAGTGATCCGTCGCCTTTATATAAATATATGTGTGACAGGCACGCGTGTGATCAGTGTCCTAAAAGTGTTACGCTAATACATTACGTGCTTCAGGTAAATTATGCCTTCTTATTGTTTTGCCGAAACACATAAAGTCAACTGATTGCTGTAAATATCAGTGAATGTTATCAGAAATATAAAACTCCCCTTCACTAGTACGCAGTCGAACCTATTCATAGTAGAAAGTAGCTTGAAGAACTAATTTCCGTCTTCAAACAATGAGTAATAGTAAGCAATGCCTTCGGCGTAAACTTCGAATTATGCATACATTATTCTAGGATTTAACTAGAATATTATTAAGCATGAATCTAGCATTATAGACTATAAGGTTACTTAAAGTTCCCTTCACACGTGACAGACATTTATTAAGGCACCATCAGCGAACTACTGGATAATTCTCTGATTAATAACCACCCAAAATGAATCCTATCTAGAAGTCAAATGATTTCTCAATACTCGAATGAAGAATTCACCAAAGTTAACTGATAAATATAACGAAGTTAATCCCGTAGTTGATTTCTTAATTGTGTTACAGGAATCCCTTGCAGATTGGAAAATTGAATTCTGTTAGTTGTTTTATGGAAAAACTGTCCAGTGGACAAGCCAAATTCTTACTCGCAGAAAGCAAACTACAGAGTCATGATTTATTGCACTTCATTGAAATGAATTTTAAAGTACACATAAATAAACACGTGCTTTGTGCGTAGCCATGCTCACGGATATATATACACACACAACAGTTTAGTTCGAAATTGATTGTAAATTCAAGCACGCTATCATTTATAACAACTTTATCAGCTGATGTCTATTTAAGCAGAAGAAAATATATATATATAGAGTGAGAGAGAGAGCTGAACTAACTTATTTTGCAATAAAATGTTCTCCAACATTTTAAGAGTTCTTTTGCTCATTCTGTCTGTGATAACATGTTCATCATCGTGGAATGGTAAGTGTCTCTTAAATCATTTTGCTTCAACGGAATATTCATCATTGACAAATGCATGAAATTTGACAGTATGACTTTATTTGCACCGAGTGGGTGACGCATAAACTATGCTTTGTTTGCTTTCAGATGTTTGCTTTTATAAAGATGATGAAGGCCCATGTAAAGCAAGCAATACAAGATTTTATTATAATGCTACTGTTGGTTCATGTGCTATGTTCATCTATGGTGGATGTTATGGTAACGAAAATAATTTCCAATCAGAAGAAGAATGTAAACAAAAGTGTCAAAGCAGGTATTTGCAATTCACGTATAATTATCTTTAAAAGCGTTCCAAGTTAGTTTCAATTATTTCAAAACTAATCTGATGCTCACTAGCGACTGGCTCTATTCAGACAGTTAACCCGGGGTTATAGTGGGAGACCGTGACCAGTAGGGTAGAGCAGGTCGAAGATAAGGCAGTAACTCATCGAATAAGACATTGCGAAGTGGTTGCGCTATGTCGTGAATTGACAGACGTTAGTTTCAATAATATATTAATAAGTCTACAGATAACGTTTGCAACTGATTCGTCGTTATACTTCCAACATCTAGTAAAAGTTAATTTCCTCTCTTCTTGTCTGCTCCCCGAAGCTTTCAGTCAAAAACTGAAAATGTCGCTTGAAATCTGACTGCAGTCAAATGATCTGCAAAGCCGTTTCCTTTCCAACTGTTCTTTCCTTTTTCAGCAGTAGTTATCTGTAGATCTAAGTAGTAAAGCCGAATGAAAAATGTAATATTCAGGTGAAACTACTGGAAACATGTAATTCATTATGTGCATCTGGTGCACTTCATGAGCAAGTGAATGCAGAGAATCAATATTTGCAAAATTTTAAAGCTCTACTCCATTTAATAATCAGAAATATTAGGTCCAATCTATGATTATTCATAAAATACTTTCAAATGACACAACCCTTATTTACTTATAATCGGTCTTGATTTCTAAAAGATAAGCACAACATGGAACTCATTCAAAATTTATTTAATATTTTGTTTCAGTGGCAAATTTGATAGAAGTAAGTTACTGCCAGTAGAAGCGTAATGATTATTTATACCCACATGTGTTATTTTTGTCAGTACTTTCAATACCGTCAGTGTTTACGTTGTTAACGTTGTTAGGCTGACTATGGCTTCTGTTGTTCAGAGCATTCTGTGTGTAACATACATTTGAAATTATTAGGTACATAACAGACGGTACAAAACGATTGTTCAATAATGTCTTTGTGATTTATTTTCTTCAGTTGTACTAATATTGAACCGTTTATGAATTTTATTGCATTTCTCATCGATGCATAGATAAGTGTTAATTTCATCACCGTGTCAGTAAAATCAATGCACACATGAATAAGGATGATCCAGTTACATTGAAATAAACAGTTTAACTTCAGGATTTATCTTAACATGTGAGTATTATGACTGGTTGAACTTCACTGAAATGAGAAACTTTCAGAAGTCTGTTATTTGTATTCTGATAAATGACAAATGTATCATCACTGATATACATATCGCCAACCCAAACACCTGCTTAAAGATTTTACTGCTAAACTAGAGATTTACTTTCATAGCACATGTAGTTGTCAATTATTTGAAAAGAATAACTGGATTCCAAACATCCCACTAAATTCCCAGTTTGTTGGCCTTTACCATTTTCAGAACATCTGCGGACAGTGACATTAAGTCCACACATTCGAGGATCCTTTATAAACTTGATGGCCTCTTTTTTTGTTCAGTTTAAATTGTTCTATGCGCTTCAAATCTTTCACTATGTAAAAGTCCCGTTTTCCAGCTGGCATTTCATTTATCGTTTCTCTGTCGTCATCTCTGATGAACAGGAATTCGGTTCTTTCATTCGGGCACGTATTCATCATTTATCAATTTATTTAGTAACTGTCTCTTTCTGTGATAATGTTTGAGCATTCATGCTTCTTACCTAAATGTTTAATAACAGAAATTAACTGAGTCGGATTTAAAGTATTTTAGTTCTGGGCACAGGAATGAATCTAGGACTCTAGTTTAGCTATAAAGATTTCAAAACTGAATTCAAGTGTTTTATGATCGGTGTTATCTCGTATATCGCAAAATCTTGAACCCCAGGTTACACTGTCACTCAATACTTAACCATATGTGCGCATACACACAGATCCACTGGAACATTGAGTCTTCAGTCAAATGTCATGTCAGCGCTTGAGGTAATACATCTGACTTAACCATCGCGTTCACTGAAATGTGTACTTTAGAGAAGTTCGTACTTTATATGCACGTCTTAGCAAATTAACTCTCACAGCTTAGTGTTCATTCAAACTCAATAGAGTACTCAAATAAATTATTCAGACAGAAGGCGTTATGCTGTGATGAATTCATTTGGAAAAATCATTCGTCTTGTAGCTTCATCAGTTATAGTTGTCTTAGACGAAATAATACAGGTACATGTTGTACACAATGAACATTGTCTCATCACTGTTTACCTAAATATGTAAAAACCCTCTAATGGCGAACTACTTTATGCTGAACTATAGTAATACAATTGCTAATGTTTCATAAATTGTTGAATGTTTTAGATAACTGCAGATTGGATGCCGAAACTGGTCCATGCCGCGCCTCTTTCATACGTTTCTTTTATAATTCATCCTCAGACAAATGTGAAACATTCATATATGGCGGTTGTCTGGGAAATGGAAATAACTTTAGGAGTATGAGAGAATGTCAGGCAAAGTGTGGGACGGCGTAAGTGTCTTACTTACTATTACCTATCACAATGACACTCTTAAATGACAAGTCAAATACTGCTTTTCACTTCATATTATAGCATTTATGATCTAAGTATTAAAACTGCTGTCTAGCACCTATTGAACATTGTTGGCTAAAAGTTTTATAAATAATAAGAAACAGATGTCAGTTTAAATTTAGACCAAGACGAGAAATAGTATGCTTCACAAGCCATAGGAATGAGCATCTACGATGTCCGCTTTATCCTTAAGAGAAAAATTAAGACTCCACTCGCTTCTAACTACTTTTACATTGGTCACAAACAAAGTAAATCTCATAGTTATTTCGGATAAAAACCATTTTCTCAACTGCGTAGTATATCATATATATAAAGCATCAACCAAAACGCTAACAGATGTCTTAATTTTAATGACAGGTTAGGTAAACGCGTGCTGCATGTACATCATGAAGACTTTAGCAATTGATAGCTTCGCAGTAACATCAAAAATAAGATTGTGATAGTGTTATTTATGTAGCTACATTATGCCAGGAGGCAGTATCACAACAGTGATATGCTGATAAACTTGACTGAAGAAAAGATGACACCAAGTGAGATTTGTTTCGCAAAGTAACGTGTTTGCAATCCATTTTTATCCTGAGAAATATGAAAATAAGATATGAAGCAACACTACTGCTAATTTTAATATCACACTGAATAAAACTAACTAAGTGCTTGAATAAAGAGATACTCTCTTAACATTCCAAACTCTTAAATGCCCTTTCGTTGACACATATAATATTCATTCATAAAAAGTGATTCATTTCAACTTCTTTAAGTGATCAACGCAGCAAACTTTAAGATGATACTTCTGTTGGCCAGTTTAGCGCAAAATGCTTTTCATGTACATGCACCAAAATACTTTCAGAAGAAAACTAATAAAAGTAGGTACTCTTCTTTGGAATGTTGCTCTAATTCTACCAAAGAATACTTTATTGTCTTCAAATGATTTGAATTCAAATCTCAGTGTTCACTGTACGTTTAACTAACCCGGTATACCATCAAAATCGAAATGAAATTGGTATAAACATATCAAGAACAGGCTCAGAAACGAAATACAGTGGATTCGAATAATTTTTCAATTTTATTTAAATGTCATTCACAAGGTTAAATGGAAATGATATCAACTTTTTTAAAATGACAACCTACTATTCAAATACATATTGGATTTAACTTACCAGGCTTGCCCGAACATGGAATATAAAATGTAAGTTAATTTGATAATTCAAAAGTGATGAAATGTCAAAATTGAAAAATATACTTCGATGACTAACAAAAATCAGTAAGATATTTCCACGGAAAATATTCTGGAAACTTTTTCCAGTAAACAACAGACATTCCTAGCGTTAAAAGGAATAAAAAAGAAACTCCAAGTGCATAAATAAATAAGTGTTTACATGAAAGCAAAGAAAAATCGACAGTGATACATTAAACTCCTACATGACTAATACTGCAAAACAGCTGTCCAGTACTCCCAGGTTTTCCAGTGGTTCTCTTAGTGATGTCAGCTCATGATGAAGTCCTCCATGTAATACTGCAATAGGCGGTAACAGGACTGAAATAGTCAGGAAACGCAGAAGAAAAGGGCAATAAAAATATCCTAAAACAATAAAGTGAGATGAAACAAATAAGTGTCAGACACCACACTAAGATAATCAAATGCATTTAGCTAAAGAATTGAGAAAGAAAGACAAGAGCCAAAAAGCAGAAGACAAAAACGTTTTGATTATTAGTGTTATTAATTAGTGTAAAGTGTTAAGCCGTTGGTTTGGTGCAGACTAAATTCTATCAGTCAACAAATAGACAAATTACACTAGTCATTTACTAGTATCCAACAGGGTATCCAATACAATCACACAAGAGGTCAGTCACAAGCCAGAATAGCTCTGTGGTAACGTCTTTGACTGCAGCACTGCGTGACGCCCATGCGAATCTCAAAAGGGACATGAGTTCCTTCAAGGATGTAGATACATTTTGCTGACGAGTAACAACTAGCAGGAAACCTAGGTTCAAGGATTCCTACCAATTGCCGCCAATCATACAATATCAAGAATTCATAGTGTATTGCGATATCGAGACAGAGAGAATGGGGGCCACATTGCAACCATGATTCATAGTATTAATTCTACACTTCAACACCAGACAAACATTTAAATTATGCAGAAGCATCATTAAAGAGGCATGAATATCGCGAAATATTTCCTCCGAAATACGCAACACAAAATAATTTTGTTTTATTTGAACAAATTTTTACTATATACGGTATAGCCAATGCACCCGGTGAGTTCATATATTCCTCGTTTTTGTCTGAAATTGATTTCACTCAGCTTATGAATCCAGTAGCCCGGTAGATATCACTGCAGATCAAAAGTGAAGGTAGACATTGCTTGTGTACAAAACCTAATAATTATAAATGGATATCACAAAACTGTTTATGAAAGGGCACCCCAAGTTGAGGGGCAGTTGTGTCACATAAAACACTGTTTCATCTTCTGGACTCCTAGTATGGGATTTGAGACATCATCAGAATGAGTGGCTTTAGATTTCATCAAATGTGACTATCATAGATTATCCTCATTTTGCTTAATGTTAGCTTGACATCAATTGATAACTTCGAAATGTGTACATCTGGCCACGGTTTGCACACTCATCGCGTCTTTCTGTTTCCAACTGTTTGTGAAATGCGACAATTTTTTCCTTTGAACCAGTCTGAAATTACACGTCAAAATTGTATTCATCAAGCTCAATTAAAACATTAATATTCGTCATCGCTTTGAAATGTTTTTGTTTCAGACTACTAAAGCACTATGACAACAGCCCATTCTATATTATTTGGCCTAGGCCTACCTGCGGAATCATTTTTGGCGGTTGACATTGTGTATAGCACATTGTTTTCGTGTCTCTGATAAAATGTGGGCTCACCCTACTGGTGTTATTAGGATGAAAATCTAAGACAATGATAAACATGACGGGATTTACTCTCTTCTTCTCTTTCTCATAACAAAAGTGCCGAAATGAACGATCTTTTGATTGCTCTTGATAAGCATGCTAACTGGTCTCCATAATGCTCTTACTGATTCCTTGTATTCATCATTCTCCCACATTTTGTGTGATGTGCCTCTTGGTGCCCATTTTTATCTATGTCTGATTTTCACATGAAAACAAAAACAAAACAATATCTAACAATCCCCTGTTGACAATAAACCAAAAGTTTATGGTTAATAATCACGAAATGAGACACCTGATGCGATAAAAAAGCGTCGATTAGCTCATGTCTATTCAAACAACTACGACTAATCACCTCATTATCGAATGCACTTTTTATAGAAACACTATCTCAATAAATTTACAATGTCAAACGAATCCATTGTTATTTGAATACATTTCTATTATATATTGTCTAGCCAATGCACCCAGTGAGTTCATATATTCCTCGTTTATATCTGAAAAGGACTTCACTCAGCTTGTGAATCCAGTAACCCGACAGATATCAATCCATATCGGAAGTGAAGTTAGAAGTTGTTTGTGCACATGAACAAATACCTACAGACAGATATCATGCAACTACAAATGAGGTGGCACCCGAAATCGAGGAACAGTTGTGTAGCATTGATATGTTTTCTGTTAGCTAATACCCTCTAGTAGAATCGTTGGTTTATTTTTCCACTCGGTTTTGACTCCATATTTCCTACAGTTTCGTGTCAATTCGCGGTTGATAGAACTTCCACCCTTAAACGTTTGGAATACCTTGTGTCATAGTATTTCAGATCTTTTTGTGTAGTTTTACCTTAAGATTTTCTGCTTTATTTCCATTTTTGACTAGATTTCTTACAATTTCTTCGGGTTTCTAATATATATTTGTGTTCATTGTCGTCCTAATAGAAGCAGTTATTTCCACTGCCTTTTCCACTGTATTTTTTTTAATATTTAGATACTATATTAGTGAGTTAGATATGGTTTGACAGTTTGCATTGTACACCCCCATTTTATTTTCGGAATTCTGAATGAAAGCAACGAATATCAGGGGAAATATTATAATAATAAACTGTTATTGTTTCAACCCAATTAATATGGATAACTGCTTAAAAATGCCCATTAAAATTTTCAAAAGAATGGATAGTGAACAAAGAATACTCTTTTCGATAACCTCTTCTTCATCAGGCTCTACATTTACACATACATTATAGTGAATGAATGAATTAGTGTTATGAACGATATTAATCTTAAATAATATCAAATCAATAATATTGATAGATTACAGCTGAATAGCATCAACATAAAATAAGCTGAATGTCAGAAGAATTAGGAAGGATAATATTACAAATTCATGAGTTTATAGTTTCTACTGAAGGCCAGGGCAATATGGATAACTCAAACTGGCCAACAGCAACAACAACAGACAACAATCAGCACAAATGGGAGGAACCTTAAAGAAACATTCTCCTTCACCTACCCACCTACCTGGGAAGCATCGTTTCAACTACAGGCGGAACTGACGAGGATACCAAGGCCAGAATCGGAAAAGTAAGACAAGCTTTCATTACTCTCAAATCTGTGTGGAGGTCAGCAGCACTCATCATCAAAAATAAGATCCGGATTTTCAACTCCAATGTAAAGTCAGTCAGTGCTACCATGCAGATCAGAGACTTGGCCAGAGCGTCATAAAGAGCATCTCCAACAAACTTAAGACCTTCATCAACAGTTGTCTTCGCTCAATACTCAAGATCAGATGTCCGGCCAGAAAAGATCAGAAACAGGGATCTCTGGTAATGAGTGAACCAACCAGGAACCGATTGTGTAACAAATAGGCGGGAAGAAATGGAGATGGATTGGCCATGCGCTGAGGAAACCATCAAGTGACATCACCAGACAAGCCATTGCTCGATTGGAACCCGAAAGGGAAGTGGAGAGTTGGTCGTCCAAGGGTGACATGGAGGAGGTCATGTGAAGAGGAGATGAAAGCATGTGGGCAAACTTGGAGCGGGGTGAAAAAGTTGGCGGAGAACCGAAGGCACTAGAGATGAGCAGCTGAAGCCCTATGTTCCTCTAGGAATTAAAGCATATAATAATAATAATAAACTGATATATTCCTCTAATTATGGAATACCTGTATGCTGTGTTTTATCAAGGCAGCCTCATGTATCACAATGTACACACAGGAACAGTTTTGATCAAACAATCCTCCAGTTGATGCAAAACCTCCTACTGCCTATAATTATCACTCACTTATTCATATTTCCACTGGACAATATACCTTAACTAGACTTTATTTAGAAGCACTTTTCCATGTTTCTGAAATTTAAGTTAATTTCAATAAAGTTTAAAATGTAACTAGAGGTAAATCAGTAATGATGTTCAAATTAGACCTTGGTCGTTTCCAAGTAATTGCATGCTTATAGATACTTCAGCTTCTCTATTTAGATAGCATTTTTTTACTTATCCCAAGCTTTATTAGATGTTTCTTCTTCATTTTCAGGTGACTTCACTCGTGGGCATAAGTGTTTTACTCGCTGGTTTGAAATTTTTCCTGTAGTTGGATTGAGAATAAATGTTCAAATCAAGTACATATCACGTGGAAGTATTTAATACATAAATGTATTTAACTCAAATTTTGTATCTAGTTGTTAATTTATGACGTTGGTTTCTTAAATAACCCTTAGTGTTATGAAAGATTTCAAATAAAGGTTTACAGTAGTAGTTTTAGTTTTTCCGGCTAAGAATGGTCTCAAATTTCACTCCTCTATGATTCTTTTAACTGACAGCCTTCTAACTACCTCAATGCACAAAACCCCTAATTCATTATAAATCGATAAAAGTTATGTGCATTGCGGCCATCTGTAACATCTAACAAAAACTCCATAAACCTCATCAAAAAATGTATGTTTACCGATTTGTTTACTGCCGTAATTTAGTCGTACAGGTGCTAATTCCAAACACACAATTTCTCATTTAAACACAACTACATTTTGCTAGCTGTTCATCTGATGTAGTAATCGGCTTTGTGACTTGTGCTTACCTTCGTAATGGAACTACACAGACTGCGCGTTAAGTGTCCCGAGTAAATGCAGTCTTTCTGGGGCAAAAGAAACAAAGTCCTACCTCTATAACTTTCGACCACCTTTCCCATGGAGAAAGGGATTAAAATAGAGAACATCAGGAGGACACATGACCTCGTCCACAAACTACGCAATTCACCTTAGCTATCCTAGTAGAAGTATCACTCAGAAAAGGCACCAACTGGAAGTACCTCCTTACTATTGTCTCTCCTACTACTTGTCACCAGTTCTGCACATAAGCTCACTTAGATACTTTTGTGTGGCATACACAAACTCTGTCAACTTCACAGGAGTTACGAAGATACAATACATCATTGTTAATTTGAATAACAATAAACGTTTCAATGAGTAAGCATTCGTTCCCACGCTAATGTAGTCAAATATGTTTTTACGAATGGAATTCCCTATAAATGTGTAGCTGTTTCGAAGTGTACGTTACAACCTGACGGTATATCATACCATCACACTTTCTTGTTAAGAGAATGTTTCCATCATTTTTTTATTTTTTTTTTATTATAGCTTGATTCCACGCAGTACGTTTTGGTAGAAGAATGGAATTTTCAGCATGTGATATCGGTAGCCAAATTTTTCAGGCCGACCATTTATATCAGGTGTGCGTCGGCAGAAGATCGAACCCCGGACTATATACATGGTCGGAGAAAGTCTGTTGCGTGCGTTGTCTGATTAAACTGCCGTACACATATATTCTAGTACTTCTTCGCTCTTATTAATGTGCGCAGACGTTGTGGCTACTCGACGCCCACGACGTAAATCAAAAGGCACTTGCGAAGATTACGAATGTGTATTGTAGCAGTAGTCAAATTTCGAAAATGTGTCAAGGTAATGTTCAACAGTAAATTGACAAATGTTTGCGAAGTACATATAAAATCGGTCTGTATACACATATAATACAAGTGTACAAATTAGATTAAAAAGCATGTTTACAGTTGGTATAGGGGTACTACAAGTCCTAACCGCTGTGTTACTGACGCACAACCTAGCAGCCTGTCTGAATTTACGGCAAATTGATGAGCTTTAAAATCACTATTGCAGCTGACTGAACGTCAGAATTCGGTCTGTTCCATTTCATATGGAGTCTGGGAAAGACCGAAGTACGACTGCCATTAAACTGAGAAGTTTAGTGGCCAGCTGTAGAGTAACTTTTCTGTCAAACTCATTTGAACGTAAAATTTTGTATAGTTTGGTTTGTAAGGATTAGTTATGTTTTACGGTTGATCACGGATTGATATCAGTTAGAGAACCATTGAAAACCAGGGAATACTGGACAGCTGCTGTTTCATCCTAGTTTGGGAATCATCGCTAATGACTTGCTACAGGTTGGAGTTTCCTGAGTTCTAGTGAGAAGTCGTGACCAGTGAGGTCCAACTAGATGTCACGTGTGTGGATGGATGTCCCACCAACGACAATGGTTGGGGTCGCGCTAAATCACGAATTAGTAGAAGTTAGAATTCACGAGCCATTGAATTGGGTCCCATGGCTGAATGGTATACGAGCTTGCCTTGTAACCGGAAGGTCCCGTGTTCGAAACCCAGTGGGTGCGTACTGCCGATGATTCCCAAACTAGGATGAAACAGCAGCTGTCCAGTACTCCCTGGTTTTCAATGGTTCTCTAACTGATATCAATCCGTGATCAACCCGTAGAACGTAAAATTGTCTCAAAACATTTCAGAGTTGTAAAATAGTGCATATCACTGCCTACCAATTATTGACATAAGCTGAATAAAACTACAACTGTCAATCATTTTGTAGTGTATTGCTTTATGCTTG